AAGAAGTGCAGTCAGGTCTTATTTCACTGACTCCTTCAAGTAATCGTCTTCTCTCTCAAGGGCAGACTTTCTTCATTCAAATATAAACCTTTCCTCAGCTGTGATTCCTCATTTGTCATCTTTAGTGCTAATAAAAGTTTTCCTGTCCCTCGCTGAACACTTTGCCTTCAGTCTCCCTCTGACCTGTGGAAGCCCAGTGGATTGGCTGTGGTTAAAAACAATCATTTATCTCAATGAACTAATCTGGTTTGCAGTGCAGACCTACAACAATTGTAGTTGTGGAATGAAAAACTAGGGTGGGATCTCTAAAACTAGGATGAATAGAGGAGTGTGTTCTGGTCTTTGGGTGTTAGGAAGCCAGTCTCGTGGTGAGCTTTTGCCAAGATGGACAGCCCGTCCTTTGCTTTTCCTCCTTCACTTGTGTTAGATGTGGAAATCACATGGTGACAAGATGATTCTTATCAGCCTTGACTGTTCTGGTAGCCAGGCAAAGGAGGAAAAAAGGTTTCTGCCACATCAGTCAGCTGAATCTACTTGCCTTGTTGCTGTCTGCCTGGAAGCAGGGGGTCAGTGTGTGGTTCCTGGCAGATGGAGGGACTGGCCACAGGATTTGTCAGCTCAGATCAGCTCTGACCACCTTGGGAGCTTCAGCCAGAGGCAGTAGTTTCATGGATTTTAAGCTAGTGTATCTTGCTGCTGCTACCACAGAGGATATCCCGCCTCCCATGGTGTCTTACCACCACTCCCCTCTTTTGCGGTCACCAAAACTACGCACGGAGCCAGGCTATGAGCCAGGTCAGGATATTGGTTCAGATTTTAATAACCCTTTTTTTTCCCCCCCTCTGGATGTAGGTTGGATAGCCAAGCATATTTTGGCACAAAGAATGGGACTAGGAGGAATTTTGGGGGACAGGTGAGACTGATTCTTTCGGCTCTGAAATGAAGCTCTGAGATTTCTGTTGTGTGATATATGATGAAGTGATCCAACAGGTTTCTGCTGGGGAAGTGCTTCACTTTCTCCCATCTCCATTCCCAGCCACATGCTCCTAGTGCTTGTTATGCATCCATTCACTCCCTGGATACCTCCATGGATCTATCTAACTTGCTAGCCTGATTTTCCTCTGTCGTGTAGGTTGACTGTGCTCATTAAAGGGGCTGATGGATGCCAGCAGCAACTTAAGTCTGGGGCAAGGAGGGCTGTGTGGTTGGAATAGGGGAGGCAGAGGCAGAGACAACCCTTCTAGTGCTGTCTGGCTGCTTCTAGAGCCAGAGCCCCAGGGGGAAGGAGTGGGAAACCACATTTTCTGATTGAACCTTGCCGTGCTAAACCAGTCTGGTGAGCTCTGCAGAGGCAGCTGGGCCCACGCTCCTCAGAGGCGATTGCTCCTCTCCCTCTTTAAAGGACTAAAAGCCATTGCTTTTGTCTTTCTGGTTGTTTCTTTATCACACTGTTTATTTTTTTCAAAAGTGATGAATATATGTCTCAATTGCTTGGTCTCAGCGTAGATTTGTAGTTTATTAAAGTTTACAATTACGTAAAATTGATATGAAGGATCTATTGTCTTTCAGGTTTGGGTCTGAAACATATTTTCTTTTAGCTTCAAGAATTCAGTAGTAAAATAAGGAAATTAAAAACAGAAAGCTAAAATTATGTTGAGAGTATAATTTTCTCTGTAATATATAGGTTAAGAAAGCACAAATAAAATGCAACTCGAAAGTGGCATAAATCAAAAATCTTATTTACATGCTTTGAAGGGAAAAGAAATAAAATTGGTTTGCCCCATTTTTATGACTTTGTCTTTAAAAACTAAAAAAAACCAAGTTGTTGATGGTTTGGCAGCTGTGTGGGTGACATCAGCTCTCTCATTGTGAAAGATCTCCTGTCTCTTAAACAGCCTTATGGCATTTTGTCAAGTTTGGTGATTCAGCTGAACTAAAACCCCACTGGATTTAAGTCTCAATTCCCCTAACTGCTAAACCAAACTTATTTCTGACCACACCATCATTGCTAGATGGCCTGTCTTGAAGCAGTATTGAAACTTTATATCCCACAGAAGTTAATTTTATTTTGAGAATAAGAACTAAATGACATGCTGAAAGGAAATGTAGCATTTAATTCAGAGTTGTTAATCATAATCTGTCAGTACAAACTGTATTAGTTTTAGTCTGATTTGCTAAATTTATTAATGAATTTAGTGAATTTCACAAAATCTTGTAGATGCTACATGTGTAGCATCACTTTCTCTTCAAAAAGAAATTGAATTTCTTTAATTAGAAACATGTATTCAAAATAAATATGTTGTTGGGTGGAGCCGGTTTAAGCTAAAAAAACTTTTACCTTCATTTAAAATTTCAGACTTAACTGTAAGCTAAAACTTCAAATGCATAATGACATTGTAGGTTACTAATTGTAGTCAATTTATTTGCAAGATACATCTATTCAGAGGCAGACTTCCAAGACAGGGAACTTGTGAAAACATTTTGTAAAACATTTTGTGGTTTTTCTCCAAACTTTTATTTACCTTGAGCAAAGTTAATCAGATTTTACATTGCTCTCCTTGACATTTGAAAGAAGGCATTACCTCATATATTGCACTATTAATTGCCAGCATAAATGATTGCTTATAATGGGCTAGGTCCACTATATACAGAATGAAGATGTGATATGTTACAATAGAGAAACCTTTACAGTTCCGGGACTGATGTGTCATTCATGGGCATTAAAATTGCATTATAATGGCTGTAGCACTATATATTATATCCATACGTATACCAAAATAATTCATCTTGATTAAGGAGTGGACACTCTAGGCTCCTCTAGGCCCCATTTATTACTTATTTTGCCCAGGCGAAAGACGATTCCTGAGTCTTTGTAGGATAGAAATTATTTCTTCTCCAGGTCTGTTGCAGATGATCTAGCTTGTTTAGAATTATTTAATAAAACTAAAAAAAAAAAATCCATGATAATGGAGTTATTCAGTAACAGCAGAAGAGCAAGGATGAGTGTCCTGGTTGGCCGTTGAATGGATAAATACACTCCATGCCTATGCCAGGCTTAAGACCCAAAGTCTACTTTCAGAGTCAAAAACATGCAGAAAAGTGACCAGTATGGTTTCTGACTGAGCTTATATAGTGACAGCTGGAATGAGAGAATGGTCAAGAATGAAAAAAAACAAGGAGATGTTCTTTGCTTCTCTGAAATACCATTTTTCTGCAAAATCATACTTATGCCTGCTGACCATCTGAATTCTGTCATCTTTCCATTTTGAAAAAATCATAAATTGTAATGACTCCCTGTAAGTTTATAGGGCAGGAGTTGCCAACATGTGACCCTGAAGCCCTCAACCACTTCATGCAGTGCATGTCATGCTGACCTGGCAGTTTTGGACAGAGCTCATCTCCACTCCTTAATGGGAGGCTGCTGTTCCTGCTAGCTCAGCTGCCATTCACATCAGAGATAAGTAGTGTTTTTCTTTTGACTGTCAGTTATATGAGTTTCTGGGGTGTAGCTCTTGCTGTCAGGAAGTTTGGCCTGCAGTTCTACATTGCCTTGGCTCTTAGCCCACCCGCATCTCAGTGTGAACCATCCATCCCTGCAGTATTCAATACTGAAGGATTGCATGTTTGGTGAGTCTCATAAATACTAATCTCCATGTTTCCTTCAGGATGCAGATAGTCTCATTTAGAATTTAGAAATGTTAGGTCACTTGGTTAAGTGTCTAATGCAAGTATCATGACTGGAATTCAGAAATCTGCTTTTTTTATGCTTCATTGTACTCTATACCTATTTGATCACAACACTAACATTTTGTATTTTTATGAAGGTTTTGACATAAATGGTAGATTACATTTTTCAAGTGAAATATCTCTGAACTGTAAGCCTGTAAAATTTTAATTGTACACAGGATGTTAGAGTCAGTGCTCAGTTCTCTTTACTTTCAACACTGCAGCCTTAATGCAGTAAGGCTTTTCACACGTAAGGCCATCTCAACATGACGTATCCTCAATAATCCCTAAATTCTGTTCCATTCAGTTAAAATCTATTTCCTGGAAAAGTAAGATTTGTTTGTTTTTTTTTTTTTTATTTGTCCACCAAAAGTGAAAGTCAAGCATTTGCTTTTGGTGTCTCTCATTTTGTGATGTTTGACCTTGTAGGCTGTAATATTTAGATTGCTCTTATTTCGAATAACTTTAATTTTTTTATTCTGTAATTGTGTAAGAATGTAACAACATGGATAAATGATTTGCCCAGTTGATATGCACAGGAATTTTTTGCTGCTCTGAGTGATTCTGGATTTCGCTCAATTGTGTGGTGTGGTTTTTTGTAAAGAAGTAGTCTGTTGCAAAAACTAGGGTGAATACTTTGAGAAAAGAATGGGAGTATTTTCAAATGTTTATTCTTGTTGAAATTAAGTATGTATTTTGAAAGGTAAGAGACTGAACATGATATTCTAGTATAAATCTTTTCTTTAGAATCAAACATTACTATGAGAAAACTGACATTACAAGGAATAATACTAGATCTATATGTTCACAACACTCAACTAAGTGAATTAAGATAGGTGAACTTTGCTGGGTGAGTTCATGTACAGCACAACCCTACACCTTGTCAACACGATAGTAGGAGGTTATAGTGTCTCAGGGCTCATCTGCTTCTTAAGTTCAGTATTCTATTCATTCTTCCAAGGTTAAGGTCATGGCTATATGTCAAATGTTTTTATTTTAATAAAATAACAGAAAGACTCAGAGTTTTGTAGAAAACTCATTATTGCCATAAAGCAGCAAAAGGTCACAAAATGTCTTTCCTTAGTGAAGTAAGAAA